ACACACACACACACACACACACACACACACACACACATGCCACGCGCGCGCGCACATACACATACACAAACGAACATTTACCCTTATACACTATTTTATTTACGCACAACTCTTTCAGTTTTATCTGATAACAGTTTTTAAAAAACCCAGCTCAATAAAATATCTGCAACGCGCTGGTCTAAAGATTCTCTTCTAAATCTTATCCTGAAATTTGCGTCTATACAATTTCTTAATTGCTTTCTCTATGAATATACTAACCACTTGTCGGATTTTAATACTACAAAATCCATTTTCAAGGAAATCACAGTGGGTATTTGGCTGGTGCTCTGGAGTAGTTTACTCCTTCTTTCCTATCAAACACCTACCGTCTTTATCTTTTCTTTTTGTTTTGTTTTCTAGTCTCTTGTAAAACCTTTAATTGTTTGCACTTATATGCCATGTAAAACAAACAAGACGCCATTGTTGCAAACCCCAGCTTCAAAAGATTGAAGAATTGTAAATTCTACCGCGGTCATCTTGTACGGTTATTTAGTTGTAAATTCTGTATGGTTGTTAGATTGTAAATTCTACTCCGTGAGATTCAGACTTTTTGTAAGATCTTAATTTGAATCCAGTCCACCAGTAAGATTCAGTTCACTTGTATGGTTGAAGATTTTAGTCCGATCCACCTTTAGAATTCTATATGTTTCTCCGCTGCTCTCAAAAGACTGCAATTTCTACTACTGTAGACTGATCTACTCAGCCACAACAAAGGTAAACACACTGTTCAGGTCCAGAGATTTGCGATGTCCTTGACTCTTTTGTTTTTTTACCGTTCGGTTCTAGTGTTGATAGGGGCGTTAAACCCATACCATTTCACCATTTTCACCGTCCGGTTCCCTGCAGAGTACCAAATGGCATTGGTCCGGAGCTAGGCTGGGGTTACCTGCCGTTTCCTTGTAAACCGTACACTGTCTACAACGAAACACAAGATAAGCGCAGGTCATTCCAATGGTGAGGGAATTAGACCCCCAATAGGGTACCAGGCTAAAGGGGGAGTTCTACTCAAGGCCCAATGCGATGGCCTTGAAAAGCATTTATATTATAGGGAAGGCTGTCTTCTTCTTCTTCTTCTTCTTCTTCTTCTTCTTCTTCTTCTTCTTCTTCTTC